CACTTTGTAGCTGTACAACTCTGGACAAGTCACCTAATTTCTCTGTACCCCAATTTCATCCTTTGCAGAACAGAAGGAAACCTATTCATAGAGCTGTTAGAGTTAATGGAACAGACAGGTGTAAAGTACAGGTAATAAATATATTCCCTTTCCTCTTCTAGAATGATGCCTGCACACGCATGAATCCATTTCCTTTCCATTAGGTCATAAACCAGGAGAACACAGAAGGGAATTTTGAATACAGAACAAGAACCATTTCCTGGCTCGGCTCAAGTGGCTAAAGGCACCAGCCACATACACCTGGTTGGCGGGTTCGAATCCAGCCCGGACTGCCAAAACAACAATGACGGCTGCAACCAAAAAATTGCCAGGAGTTGTGGTGGGCGCCGGTGGTCCCAGGTACTTGGAGGCTGAGGCAGGAGACTCGTTTGAGCCCAGGAGTTGGAGGTTGCTGTGAGCTGTGATGCCACAGCACTCTACCCAGGGGGACAGCTTGAAGCTGTGTCTCAAAAAAAGAACCATTTCCCATAATAAATGATGTAAAGGTGATGTTTTTAAATAGAGCCCTCATAGTAAGAGTTAAAATTTACCACAAAGGGCAACTTCATGCATAATAATTTTTAAAAAGGCAACAACCTAATTGTCCATCAATGGTAGACTAGACAAATCAATGGTGTAGACCTAAATCAAATTACTGATACACACAGGAATGTGGATATCAAAAAATGTAATGGCGAGCAAAATAAGCCAGACACAAAAATGGGCAAATTTGATGACTCTATTCAAATGAATTCATGAGCAGACAAAACTGGTCGATGGTGATAAAAGTCAGAATAGTGGCTACTTTTCAGAGTTTTTTGATTTGGAAAGAGCACAAAAGCACCTTCTAGAAAGCTAGGAATGTTCTGTGTGTCTTGTTTCTTTGGTTAGTTGAGGTTATGCATATGCAAAAATACTTCAAGGATGCACTTAAGATTAGTGCCCTCGGAGAGATGTTACACCTTGCGGGCAGGAGGCCTGCCAGGACACATGCCACATTGCCCTGAAACCCAGAATACCAACTGGCAGCTGTGCAAATGGCTCAAAGGCCCTTTGCTTGACAACACAAAGACTGAAAACAAAAGACACATTTTGACCAGACCTAGGGGGAAATCAACTTTATAGGACTCACGAATAACAGGCGAGATAGTGAAGAAAGGGCTTTATTGTAGTTCCCTCAAATAGGGCTCAGTAAAAAGTACCTTTTAAGTTTTAATATTTCAGACTGTCACACGTAGCTGTTTTAATCTTGAGTCCATTGTTATAGGAATAGGATGATAAGTAGAAAGTGGGCTGTAGGCATGTCTAACATTTTTGACACTTTTCCTCAAACCTTATTGAAAGAGTGGACTGTGTACCCAACAGTCTGCTGCTCTGCTGTTCTGCATTTGCATAATTTCACATTTCATTTCATTAGTTCTTACAACTATATGGAGCTGCTGATAGCAGGTCAACAGTGGTGCCATCGTGATGGACTTTGGAACATTCTAAATAAGGATAATGCCCACACAGGCAAAACAGAGTTGAGAAAACGCAGGTCCGCTGATGTAAACTTTGCATGTTTCCCAGCCTCTCTGAACGTCCTTCCTATATATGGGGAACTTCTGCCCAAGCCAGACAAGGCACTTTTCCTCCCCCTCTCTTGGAGCTGGAGTACAGACTGTGTGAACGAGGCTCCACTGATCAGATGTGAAATAAAGATGACTTTAAGTAGAGAAAAGTATGGAGTCCACCTTCTGGGAAGGGGCACTATAGAAGCTGCTGTTTTCAGGGGCAGCAGTAGTGGGGTTTTGGCAGCAAAGCTGTGGTCTGAGATGCCTGCATTTGGTGACAGGAGCAGAGTCATCTGCACTGGAACAGTGACAGCTGATTGTAGGTGCAAAACCTCCAAACCTAATACTGTGGACCTCTCAGTGATTCTATGAGCTATGCAGTGTCCTATAATAAATTCCTCCCTGTTTAAACAGGCTAGAGAAGGTTCTCTTGTTTGCATTAAAGCTCTGAATGATTCACCCACTATGTCAGTTGAGGTTCTAGAGAGAAATAGAACCAATAGAACATATGTATATGTATATTATGCAGAAGAGAGGTGGAAATATACGTATGTGTGTCTATATTCCCTCTATAGCTGTGGGCTCCACATCCATGGATTCAACTAACTACAGATCAAAAATATTTAGAAAGAAACTAACTAAAAATACAACTAAAAACAATACAATGACTTATATAGTACTTCCATTAGGTATCATAAGTAATCTAGAGATGATTTCCAGTATACAGGAGAATGTGCATAGGTTATACACACACACAAACACTAAGCCATATTATCCAAGGGAATTGAGGGTCCATGAATTTTGGTATCCATGGGACTATTCTGGAACCAATCCCCCAAAGATACCAAGGGACAATTGTATAGAGTTTTATTTTTAAGAATTAACTCAGTCGTTGGGGCTGCAAGCCTGAAATTCATAAAGCAGACCAGCAGGCTGGAAACTCAGGCAGGAATTGATGCTTCTGGCTTGGCACCTGTAGCTCAGCAGCTAAGGCACCAGCAACATACACCAGAGCTGGCAAGTTTGAACCCAGCCCAGGCCTGCTACTTGGGAGGCTGAGGCAAGAGAATTGCCTAAGCCCAAGAGTTTGAGGTTGCTGTGAGCTATAATGCCATGGCACTCTACCGAGGGCAACATAGTAAGACTCAGTCACAAAAAAAAAAAAAAAAATTGATGCTTCAGCCTCAAAGCAGAATTCTTTTCCAGAAACCTCAATTTTTGCTCTTAAAGTCTTCCAACTGATTAAATGAAGCCCACCCACATTATTCAGCATGATCTTCTTCGCTCAAAGTCAGCTGATTACAGATGTTAACCACAGCTACAAAACACCTTCACAGTCTCAGCTAGATCAGTGTTTTCTTAAATAATTATGCACCAGAGCCCAACCAGATTGTCATATAAAAACAACCATCACACCCACCCAATCAAAACTGCAGGAATGAGGGCTCAACTGTGATAAGATCCTTCACTCTGAAGAAGCTGTCTTGGAGCACTTTTCATGTTTCCTTTTGTAAAAAAATTTCATGTATGATTGTCCATACTAAGCAAAGCCCGCCTAATCTAGGCACCTGCATTCAAGAAAGAACTATGCCGGAAATCTGTACCATCCTTCTGTCCCCACGCCCCTTCCTCTGTCCCCAGCTGCCATCTCCTGGTTGAACCATGGATAGAGCCTCTTCAGTCCTACGAACCTCTAGTCCTTCGTACTCTGCTCTCCTGTCCACCCTCCCACAAGGCACTCCTGCCAAAATACTAGCCTGATTACATCTCTAGGATTAAAAGCATTGTAGAGCCTGTGTAACTCCAGCCAGCAGCCATTAAGGTTTGGTTGCAAGCAACAGACACAAATTCTTATTGATTTAGGCAAAAGATGAATTCCTGGAACTGCCCACAGGATGAAAGGAAAAGATAAAGCCTTGAGAAAATCAGAAATCCAGCTGCCCTGGGGACCTTTGGAAGCAGGAGCGAATAGACATTTTCACAGAGCCAGCTGTGGAAATGAATCAGAGGAGTGACCTCCCTCTCCATGAAACTTCAGTCAAGGGCCAATTTTCAAGAATAAGGTGTGTGATTGCCTGGAATTGGTTCATATTCCTTGGCCAGAGTACAGCCCTGATAGACTCACCAAGACTGAAATTAGCAATGAAAGGAAGGATTCTAGTAAGTGTTGCTAGCAGAAGAGGGGAAATAGATACTGTGTTAGCAAGGACAAGACCAGCCACCCCACGTACACTTCCAGCACCTGAAGAATCTTTCTGCACCAGAGAATTGCATTCAACAGGGCCGGGAAGGAATGCTGGAAGCATTCCTGGCCAACTAAGGAGACACAAGGATGACCTTCTAAACTGGAAGACAGGAGTCCCAGCCCTAAGGACTGTCAGCCTAACCCCAGTTTTCCCTCTTGTTTCTGGGCCACAGCTTCTCCTGAGGAATGCTAAGCCCAAAGTGTGGCTCACAAAGGACCTTTTCCCAACCTCTCACTCTCCCCAACCCTACCCTTTTCCCAACCTTACCCTTCTGTCCTCTCCTCTTTCCTTACTGACTACAAGTGTCCTTAGAGGAAAGTCGGGCTGTCTGCCCTCGGATCATCACTGCTCCCCCTCTGGCCTCAGGGATGAAGAAGGGAAAGACAGAGTGGAGAGGGTTTAAATGGAAAGTGACATTCACCTTGCACTTACTTCACTGTCCTTTCATTTATTGTCTGTTTTGCACCCAACACACACACAGATGGGAACTCCCCAAGAGCAGAGGCTTGTCTGGATTGATTGCTCACTGCTGTGTCCTCAAACCTGTTCAAAGTAACTGGCACAGAGTAAACACTCAGGAAAACTAATATTTGGGACTGAGTAGCCTGGATGTCAAGTGGAGGCTACAACCCACCCTTCTGCCTTTGACCCTGAGCCAGACAAGTGAGATCAGGCCTGATCTGAGTCAAACCAGAAATCAAAAACGGTGCAATTTCTAGACTCAGCCAGAGCTGGGTCCAAGCCCAGTCCGGCACCTGTGGGGCATGTCTGTCACTGGCCACTCTGAGACTCAGTTTTCTCGGTTTTGAAATGCAGATTACACCACCTACTTCACACCACTGTGAGAATAAGTGAAAATTAAATGTGTAAGATTGGCACACAGGCAGTGCTCCTCTCTTTGGGTGCCCTCACCTTGCTGCTGTTTTAATCAGATGGTGGAAACTGAATGCTGCATCTCCTGGGGCTGGAGTAGTGGGTATTTTCAGAAAGCATCCCGGAACATGCAATGCCTGGCCCACAGGAAGAAGTGAAACACCAGCAGTATGGTATTATGTATCTACCCAGCAACAGGCCCCATAGACACCAGCAGAAAGGCTCCAGCCACACTTCAGTGTTGCCTCTGCTTTGGGGATGGGACCAAAAGATAGACGTAACAGGCAACTTTGGAAAGAAAATTTTATTAGCTTCATGTAAAACAGCTGCCATGGTCAAGACATGGATGGGGACGGAGCTCCAGTGGCTTCCAACCCCTGGTATGAAAGAGCCCACATGTTCTCCCCACATCCTTGTACCCCGGTGTAAGTAGAAGGGTCTTAAGAACCACACGCCCCCCTTCTTGCCCCTCAGTGCAGGCACAGATTCAGGCATTCTCACTGGACATTGGGGTCTCCTGCTCTGTGGATATCTCGCCAAACAGGAAAATAAATCAACATTCTAGACATTCAGATCAAGACTGACCTGGCACACCAGCCACTGTCCTGGATCATCAGCTGGGAACACAACATTCTGAAACACCAATCAGAAAGATTCCGGAATGCAAAATAAGAACCCTGTAGATTTCATCAGGAGCTCCCTATTCTAGAATGCCTATATTCTAAATCAACCAGAAATCTGACATTCTAGGTTGTCAACTAGGAACTCTAGAAGGCCAAATGAAAACCACTCCTAACATTTTGAGGGTTAACAAGGAATTCAGTGTTCCAGAATGACAAACAGAATCACAATATTCCAGGTAACAAGTGAGACTCAAAGTTCTAAATGTCAACCCCAACGCTCACCATGTCAAACCAGAAAACCAGCATTTAAGACCATCAACCCTGGCTTCAGCATTCTGGAATGACAAGCACGAAGTTCTCGCCTCCAGAATGCTAACCCCCGCCCCCTCAGAGCTCCGTGGATGGTCGCTGCACAGCAGGCTCACTGTCCTGATGCGAGTCGGGCACGCGGAAGGAAACGTATGGACAGGTCTTGGTGTTGAGGCAGACCAGCTTCTTCAGTGTGGCTGTCTTGACAATGTTAAAGCCCATCTCGCCACCAAATGTGCTCGGCTTCCAGTACTCTGGAGAACAGATGGGGTTTCCTAGGAGACCTTTGAGGGAAAAGGGTGCCCCAATCTCGATCATACTCTCCCCAAAGATAGAGTTCGGTAGGCACTTTTCCAGCAGCAGCCCTGGGTAGAACTCTAAGGCGTCGATGTCTCCATAGAGCTCCTCCAGCTCCGCTGCCACCTCCTTCTCTCCTGCAAGGGGGAAAAGCTAGAGTCAAAGCTGTGGTGCCATTAAGGTCCATATGGGGCGGCACCCTTGCAGGCCCACCTTTTCCCAAAGATAATAGGGACTCCAGGAGAACAATTTCAGAAATGAAGCATGTGTCCTAAAATTTGGCCTCATTGCCACTGGGGAAAAGGACCAGGAAGGGAACTACACACACTAGCCTTCCTCCTGGATGGGATCAGAAAGCATTAAGGACCTAAATCTGTCACCAAAGAGCATGTGTCCTTTAGCAACTCATCCTATGACTCTGAGCCCTAGTTACCCAGTCATTACCGCAGGGAGAATCTCCCATCTCGCTTCCTTCACAGACAGATTTCGAGACCTTACTGTGGCCTCAGTCCATTTATTCTACTAGAGCTCATAGATATAACACATTCAAGCTCACACAGAAATCCAGGGGCAGTATTCCTTCTTCCCCCCTGGACCGTTTGTCATAGGAGCTCAGAGTTACAAAGACTGCTCTTCCAGGGGTACAGGGAACTCATCCACTGATCCCAGGACCTACCCAACTCTGCACAACCCATGGGTTCCCAGATAGTGATCCAAGGGAGACAGACATGGAGCTTTTCTACCCACTTCCTCAAATCCATCCTCTGTCACCACACATGATGTCACATGTGCTTCAGGGGCTTTCATTTTCTGAGACAAGGGTTCCCACTTGAATGCCCAACATGTGGTAATCTTGGGGGAAATGATATACACACACATATGTATGTACAGATTCTTGGGCATCATCCAGGCCTACTGAATCAGAATCTCTGGGAGAGGCATCTGAGATTTGGCATTTTAATCAGCTTTCTAAGTGATTCTTATGCAGCTGGTCTATAAATGGGGACTTAGGAACCAAAATCTTTTGCAAGGAAACCAAGATGCTACAGTTTGGCTCCAACCTCGCATAGTCACCACTGCCAACATAAGCTCTTGTTCCAGCCACAGCCCTGACTGTCTCCCCCAATAAGCACAGTTGTCTGACCTCTATGCCTTTGTACTTTCTATCACTCTGCCTAAAATGTTCCTCTCTCTCTCTTCTCCCATGGGGTAATTCCTATTTATCCTTCAAACCCAGCTGCAAAGTCACCCCTCCCCAAGTGAGGTTATCTGCCACCCCTCACCACTCCAGCTTGGACCTCTACTCTCCTTATACTTCCCACAGTGCCAGTGCGGGCCCCAAGCATTGTCCCATTCTGTTGTCTTGATGTTGCCCTCACTTTACTGTGAGTCACTCAAGGGCAGGGACTATGCCCAGAAAACAGCTGCTTACCTGTGAGCTCCTCGAAAGAGGTGTAGGGCTTCATGCCAAACCTCTTGCGGTACTCATTAAAGGGCTGCAGACGCATCTCCCGAGACTCCTTGATGACCTCCACAGCCACGTGCAGGACATGATGGTCCATGTTCCTGCCTCCACCAATCTGCCAGGAGACAAGCACAGCACCGGTCTAAAAGCCAGGCCAGACTATCCTGTGTAAGTTCCCAGAAAAGAGCTCCAAGTTACAAGTCTTTCTGAGCAAGAATGGAGAGGAAAGCACAGCTCGGGGCCTGCTACTGTCATGCTTTCAGGCAGCCCCTCTGAGTCTGTTTCCATCTTTGAAATGTGGAATGGGCCAGGAAGACCTCTCTGGTGGCTCATCATCTCACACTGTTCCCCAATCCTTCGAATTATACCAACAGGTGATGTAACTGCCCATAAAGGGAGGAAAAAATAGGACTTAAAGTCCAGGTAACCTGGTGAGCTAAAGAAGACTCCAGAAAAAGAACGTGATTTATAACAGTAAAGTAGCATTGGTTCGAAGAAAGCTCTGTTGCTCCAAATGAAATGATAATGGTGAAGAGGAGTTCTGTTTCAGTAGAATAATTACAATTGGACAGGAAAGAAAAGTACAGTTGGATGAAATCGTGAGGTTGGACAATTAAGTTCGCAAACTCGTCCTAGAGAAAGTGCTTTAGACCTCATTGCTGAATATCACTACAGTCACCTTCAAAGTACTCCCCTTGGCCATCTGGTGACCATACTGACATTCAACAATGAGGTATCCAGCACTTTTTCTAGGATGAGTTCTTGAACTTAACTGTCTGACCTTGTGTACCTTGGAGCAAAGCAAGCAGAGACGGGTGCCAACTCCAGCCTGGGGGTGTCATGGACTGAATTGTGTCCCCCTAAAAAGATGTGATGAAGTGCTAAACCCCAGCACCTGTGAATGTGACCTTATTTGCAAAGAGTCTTTGTATATGTAATCAAGTTAAAATGAGGTTATAACTAGATCAGAGTGGGCCCTAATCTGATAGCTGGGGTCCTTAGAAGAAGAGAGAAGAGATAGAACCTGGTTCATTGTACCCTCAATGATTCCCCAACAATTAAAAAAAAATTAAATGGAATAAATAAGAGAAGAGCGACACAGGGAGAACACCACATGACAATGGAGGCAGAAATCGGAATGATGTGTCTACAAGCCCAGGAACACCAAGGATTGGAAGCGACCACTAGGAGCCGAGAGAAAGCCATGGAACAGATTCTCCCCTAGAGTCTTAACAGAGAGCAAGCCCCTGTTGCCCCCTCAGTTTGGAACTTCTAGCCTCCATCTGTCGTTTTAAGCCACCCAGGTTGTGGTACTTCTTCATGGCCTAGTGAACTAATATAGGGACCCTGGGTATTACTCAGCAAAATTTGAGTTCCCACATATGTAAAATGGGGAAGGCCTAGTTGCCGGTGAATTAAATGAGATAAAGGATGCAAAGCCGTTCCCACAGTATCAGTGGCATGGTAACCCCCACAGGGTAGCCACCCACCATGGTTATCGGGGAAGCCCTGTCGTATTCTTCTCACTCTCACTAACATCCTGAGTATCAACACACTCTGTCACCCTTATGCTTGGGCCAGGTACAACACCACGGCTTTTCACATGCACTATGGGTGGTCATTCCTTTAAAAATTATCCAGCCCTGGGTGGTGCCTGTGGCTCAAAAGGGTAGGGGGCCAGCCCCATGTGCTGGAGGTGGTGGGTTCAAACCCAGCCCCAGCCAAAAAAAAAAAAAGAGAGAATCATCCAGCCCCACACAAAGGCTGTCTGTGTGGAGAACAGTGGCCATAAACCAGCCAGCAGCTGCCCACTTGTGGCAGCAAATGCTAATTTCAGTCAAATTAGAAGGAAACTGAAACCCTTATGATAATGACTCAGCTTCACAATGGGGCTGAGGGACAGGGACTAGAGAGAAGCAGGGGCTGGAGCGTGGCAATGAGGGGCCCACAGGCTGACATAAAGCAGACAAGAGCTTCCAAACCTGGGGAGAGGTTTAAGAGGCAGTTGGTTAGGAATTCCACAGAAAAAGGATGTACTAGTTTGCTAGGGCTGCCATGACAAAGTGCTCAAACAAGATAAATTTATCTCCTCAGTTTAGAGACTGGAACTTCAGGATCAAGGTGTGGGCAGGGCTGGTTTCTCCTGAGGCCTCTCTCCTTGGCTGGCAGGTTGGCAGTCCTCTCCCTGTGTCTTCACATGGTCTTCCCTCTGTGTCCTGATTACCCCTTCTTATAAGGACACCAGTCCCATTGCATAAGGGTCCACACTAATGACCTCCTTTAATCCTAATTACCTCTTTTTTTTAGTTTTTTCTTTATTTTCTTAAAATATGGAACGCTTCACAAATTTGCGTGTCATCCTTGCACAGGGGCCATGCTAATCTTCTCTGTATCATTCCAATTTTAGTATATGTGCTGCCAAAGCAAGCACTTAATAAAGACATTGCCAAATGCAGCCACATTCTAAGGTACTAGAGGTTAGGAATTCAACGTGGTTTCGGAAGAGCACTATTCAGCTCCTAAGAGGCTTATGATTTAATAAACAGCATATTTAGGCACTTGTTCCCTGTATTGCTATGCCCTAAATGTCCTTCTGTTCTGTCAATTGTCATGCCCTCTGACCTCTGCCCTTTCCCTGTCATGCCCTCTGAACTCTGCCACTAACACCTTTTCCCTGAAAAACCCCTATCCATCCCTTGGATTTCTGCTCAGACTTCACTCCATTGGTCAGTAGCCCCTGTCTAAGTCCCCAGAGCCCTGTGGGGTTCTATACTCTAGTTCCTAACACTCTTATAATCCTGATAATAACAGAGAAGCACGTTAGCAGGGCTTACCACATAGCAAGTGCTGGAAACGTGTTAGCCGTGATGTGACTGCCATGACCATCATGCCTTCTAGAGTATAAGCACCAAAGGTAGGCGCCAAGAACTGCCCTGGACTAATCCCCCAGTGCGCCAGCCTCCACCCCCACCCCGCGCCCTGAGCAACGCCTGTGGGATCGTTGAGTGAACAAATGGTGAACGAGAGAACTGATGCAGGAAATGCTCCCACCCAGCCAGCACTACTCTCAGACCACGGAAGGAGAAAGAGGGGCCTGCACCCAGGCCTGCCCTCGCCCACGTTCCCCGGGGGCTTACGCGGCCAGCGATCTGGTGGGAGAAGGCGTCCACCAGGGCCTCCACTCCATAGTCCACCAGCATGGAGGTGTTGAACAGGAACTGCTCGTAGCTGTACTCCCGGGAGCCCACCTTGAAGGCGTCCGGCATGAGCGGGTGCCAGTGGTAGAGATGGTTGAACTCCAGGGCGATGCGGTTGCGGTACTGGAACTGCACGTTGAACAGCAGCTCGGGGTCAAACTTGAGCTGCAGGAAGTAGCCGCTCAGCTGCTGCACGTATTCCTCGATCACGATCTTGATGGTCTCCCCTGGCAGGGCGGGGTGGGGCGGGCACAGGCTCAGCCAAGTAGGCGATGCGGACCCGGCTCGGAACACAGGCCACTTTGTGCAGGGGGCTTGCTCTTTGTCTCGGTATTGTTGTTGGTATTTAATTGTCTTTGGCCGCTGCCACTTTGTCTCTTTGTGACAGGATGTGAAAATAGAACTTTCCATCTGAGTGTCCATAGAGGTTCCGAGACAAGAGCGCCAGCTACTCCCACATTCCAGAGGGAGGTTCTAGGCCCAGCCACCCAGGACAAGCAGAAGGTGTCCAAGAAAGTGCTTTTGTGACCCTTGGGTGACCTCCCTCCCGCAACCCATTCTTAAAAGTGATTGGAGAAGCCACACAGAAGCAACAGTGGAAGTTTCAGTTAGGGCTGCCGTTATGCTGGCCCCCACCCCGGCAGGGGAATCAAGTGACCTCTCAGAGGTGCCGCAGCGGCAAACAAGGAACCCTGAGGACAGAAAGTGAGTCTGCTCCTAAAATGTTTCAAAAAACTCATTTCTTAAATATCAGCATTCTTATAAAATATTTTTCTCTGCCCTCTCAGCAAGTTGAACGTTCTACCACAAAACAAAAACTGGCCAACTAGATACTAAACGAAACCAGTATTTTGGCCAATTAGCTATTAAACAAATTGGGTTTTAGCCAATTGACCTAGAACCACAGAATTTCAAGTCAGCAGGCCTGGGTCCAAATCTTGGCTTCACCGTTTCCCACCACCTGAACTTGGGCCAAATTACTTAAATCTCTCTGAACTTTGCTTTCCTTACCTGTAAAATGTGCATTATAGTATCAGTGTAATAATATTCGTGGAGTTGTTGTGACACTGCACGGAAGTAGAGGGGGTGTCCACATGTCAGCCAGAAGTAGAAGTTTTAAGTGTGGGCGTGAGGAAAGAATCCCCTCCTACTGCTCACATGTGGCAAAAGACCAGACTGAGGCTCGCAACTCCTCCCATTCAGAAAGACCTCGTCTTTCTGGAGGAGAAATAGCATGAATTTTGGTGGCCAAGTCTCTCTCTGCTGAGTGGCCTTGGAGAATTCACTTAACCTCTCTGAATCTTAGTGTTCACAAGGGTAATCCTATCTGGTTCATGGGGGTGGGGGGGGGTTTTAAATGAACCCTGGATGTGCAGTGCCCTAGGAGTGCTACCTTTGGTCACAGTTTTATCACCAGCCGGAGTGCTGGGCAGCCTCTGGCCATAGACTTGCCCTTCCCAGTCATGGTCTCAGCAATTCTGGGATTTCAGAACCAGCCCCTCCTCCATTTTCAGACTGTTCCAATCCTTGATGCCCAGCTCTTCCAGACTTCAGTGAATCAGGCACTATAATTGGGACTAGCCATGCACAGTGCTGCCCAAATGTGGGGGGAGGGGGATACTGGTGACTCAGAGTGAACAAGGTCTGGACAGGGATGTCAGGAGCCAACCTCCCACACAGGAAACCATCTGACATTTTAGGTTGCCGACTTGTCCCCGTAGGGGACACAAAAATATCCTGTCCCTGAGTCACCTAAAAACTACCAAACCCCAGGAAGGTAAGGCAGTAAACGTGAAGATTCCTAAAGGCTGGGCAAGCTGGGGTCTGACCCTGCACGTGCTGGGGACATCAAGTGTGCATCTGCGGGCAGTACTACAGGGAAACTGAGATTTGGGCTGGCTGTCAAGCATGCTATGAGTCACCCAGCTAATAACTTTCACAGCCATCTGTTTTCTGAAGGTCTGTGTGCTGCGTGCCTTCCCAGTCTTCATCTCAACAAACCCTTACAACCATCACTTGTCCCAATATACAGACTTGGAGACTGAGGCTCACAGAGGTGGAGAGACTTTCCAAGGTCTCATAGTAAGCAGAACAGCTAGAATTCTAACCCCAGCCTCTGTCTCCAAACTCTCTACCCACTGTTTCTCCGGATGGAGGGCATGACCTCCCAGGGCAGGGCAGGTTTTTAGTCCTCACCTATCAGGATGAGGCGGGTCGTCTGGAAGAGCTGCTCATCGCCCCACGTGGGGTGCTCAGCCTTCAGCAGGTCACACACACGATTGTGCTCCCGTAGCCAGATGGTGGCATAAAGCATGAGCCCGGGAAGCAGCCCAAACACCTCCTGGCCCACAGCCATCTGGCTCTGGGGTGGGACACCCCGGGGGTAATGCATCAACACATTCGCCTCTTCCACTGAGGGTGGGTACATCTCTCCATGCAGCACCTGTGGGATAGGGCCAGCTGGCAACATGTGGTGTGGGGGGCACCCACAGCTGCCCACAACCAACTCCCGCCCACTCCTACTTCCAGCTGCTGGTCCTACTCAACCACATCTAAACCTCCCTTAAAATCGGTCTCCTGCTCTCCATCTCTTCTACCACCAACCAAGCCTCATCTTCCGCCCTGATTCCTGTCCCTAAGTGGGTTCCCTATGTCCACGCCTGTCCCCAGACACTCCAGTTCCTACACTGCAGCCAGGACAATCCTCCCCACAAAACCCTCGTCTTGCATCACATCTGGCTTAAAACCTTTCCAAGTCCTCTCGCTGCTTTTGGCAGAATCAGAATCTTAACACAATCCCTGCAGACATCTCTGCCTTCACCAAGAATCATTCTTCCCCTCCCATTCTTCACTCCTAAGCATGTGCACTTGCTAAACCCTCTACTTGAAAAGGTTTCTTCTGCACTTGGCCTCCCTAACTTCTCATCCTTCACGCAACTCTCAACTTGTTCATAACCTCCTTGGGAACAGTCGCCACAAGTGTAACTAAATACATGACAGTTTCTTCATTCAGTAAGTATACACCAAGGGACAACCATATGCCAAGCACTGTTCTTAGCCCTAAAGATTCAGCAATAAACTTCTTTCATTTTTTGTTTGCTTAGATTTGCACAATCCAATATGGTAACTGCTAGCTACATATGACTGTTGAGCACTAGAAATTTAGCTAGTGAGAATGAAGAACTGAATTTTATTTCAATCTAAATTAAGTAAAACCTATGTAAAATTTTAACGTCGATACTTTGGCTATTGGAGAACCTTTAAGTATGCTTGGAACAGCTCAGACATTCAACTATAAATTCAACTATAAATTATGTGAAAATTTAGCAGCCAAATGAAGATATCCTATGAGTGTAAAATATACACCAGATTTCAAAGATTCAGCATGAAAAGAATGAGATGTTTTATTAATAATCCCTTATTGATTACATACTAAAATGAAAATCTGGACATACTGTATCAAGTAAAATATATCATTAAAATCCATTTCACTTGTTTCTTTTTACCTTCTTTAACGTGGCCACTAGAAAACTAATTACATATGTGGCTTATATTACATCTCCTTAGACAAGATGTCCTCATAGAAGTAGCATCCTAAAGTTTATGTCTGTGGTTCTTTGAGGCAGGGCCCACAACTATAATATTCATTGCTCAATCACCCGTGCCAGGCATTAAATAAATGTTGTGGAATAATTAAATCAGTAAATTCAGACTATGAATGTCCATCTCCTACGAGGACATGGGAGGCCATACCTGGTCCCTGTTGGTTTCTCGTGCCTGGCACCTTCTCCCAGGGTTTATTGTGTCTCCTCTTGGCACATACCTCCCACCCCTAGAATCGGCCCTCTTAGGCTATGAGCTGGGTCCCCTAGCCTCCTTTCCCAGGGGATGCCATGGGAGACCCCTCCCACATCACGACTCCCAGGCCCAGCACTACCTGGTACTTGAGTTTCCCATCCTTAAAGAGCCGCAGCTGATACTGACGCTCGAGGTTGTCTCCATATATGTGGCCAAGGTCTACCTAAGGACAGAGATATGAGTCCACTCAGATCACCTGGCTCCCCACTCACTCTCAGTGATATGCATGTGCTCAGTTAGGTCCAGAGCACTCCTGAGTCCCTCCTAGGTACTCACCCCATGTCCCAAGGCCTTGGTGAATCCAGGACCCATCTTGCCAGAAGTTTTGAAGAACTGGTGGGTGAAGTGTTGTGCAAAGAAGGCAAACATAAGGTTCGTGCCTTGGGGGTCAGGTATGAACTTCCTCCTGAGCAGGAAGCGACGACTCAGGAGCTGGGCATCTGGCAACTGCTTCTTCCCTGGTTTGGGTGGATATGAGATAGCAGTAGTTGCCTCCCTCCTGGATTTTCCTGCACTGGAGATTTCTGAGCTCACCCAGCAAACTGGCCCAAGCAGGAAGCCCAGATCAGCCTCCTCAGGACCATCTTCCACCACCAAAAATTAGCCCCCTTTCTACCAAAGATCCTCGAACCTAAAAGTATTTACAGGCTAAGCAGCATGATATTTGAAATTTTTTTGTTTGAAATTTTATTTTTTTATTAAGTCATATATATATATAGATCATGTATACATTTATGCCTTTGTGGGATTCAATGTGTTGATTATTTGTGCAAATTAGAGTGCTTACATCCTACTAACATAGCTTTCACCTCATTTACTTAATCACAGTGTTAAGACGTTTGTGTTCAGTACTTGATAGATTTGACCTGTACCCTTGCAATATACTCCTTAAGTGTGGTCCCACCATTAATCCTCCCTCTATTGAACCAACCCCCTCCCTTCCCATTCCCTCCCCCTTCCCTCCTTCATCCTGGGCTATAGTTGTGATTTCTCTCTCATATGAAAGTGTGAGTGATTATAAATTGGTTTTATAGTAGTAGTGAGTACATTGGAGTTTTTTTTTCATTTCTGAGATACTTTACTAAGAAGAATATTATTTAAAATTTGCTTTAAAATACTTTTTAAAAATAGAGTAAGATTGGCAAATAGTGGGTAAGTGTTGAAACTAGGAGATGGGTACAAGTTCATTACTCTTTTCTCTCAACTTTTGTGTATATCTGCAATCTTTCCATAATGAAAAAATTAACCAGAAGACAAAAAGAAAAGAAAAGAACATAGATACCCTGGCCGAGGGCGAGGTAGCCTGTGTTTGCATATGACTACACCATTTACTAACTGTGTGAACATAGATAAGTTATCTCTTCTCCTCATCTTTAAATCAGGGCAAATGATATTCATTTGATACAGCATATTTGAGGATTGCAACAGATAATGTAAGCATTGCAGAGAACCAGTTGGCAGAATCTTTCAAATCAAGGGTTAACAAACTTTTCTTGTAAGAAGACAGAAAATATTTTAAGCTTTGGGCAGCACTTGTGGCTCAAAGGAATAGGGTGTTGGCCCCATATACTGGAGGTGGCAGGTTCAAACCCAGCCCTGGCCAAAAACTGCAAAAAAAATAGAAAAGAAAAAATATTTTAGGCTTTGCAGACTAACTGGTCTCTATCACATCTGTTGAGTTTTGCTGTTGTAGTAGGAAAGCAGCCATAGACAATACATATCCTAATGAGTGTGATTATGTTCTAATAAAACTTTATTTATAAAAACGGGATGGGCTGGATTTGGTCACCAGGCCATAGTTTGCTGACCCTTTTTTTTTTTTTTTGAGACAGAGCCTCAAGCTGTCCCCCTGGGTAGAGTGCCATGGCTTCACTGCTCACAGCAACCTCCAACTCCTGGGCTCAAGCGAGTCTCCTGCCTCAGCCTCCCAAATAGCTGGGACCACAGGTGCCCGCCACAACGCCCGGCAATTTTTTGGTTGTAGCCATCATTGTTGTTTGGCGGGCCCGGAATGGATTTGAACCCGCCACCTTAGGTGTATGTGGCTGGCACCTTAGCTGCTTGAGCCACAGGCGCCGAGCCTGCTGACCTATTTTAAATGATACCAGTCTATGTCTGAGATAAAGGAAACAGGTCATCTTGAAATTGGTGTCTGTCATTATAGGAATAAAATATTCTATACCAGTGAGAATAGCCCACATCACAAAGTCCCAAAGTTATAGATGCTGGTGTAGATATGGAGAGAAGGGATCACTTTTACACTGTTAGTGGGACTGTGAACTCATACAGCCTCTTTAGAAAGAAGTATGGAGAATTCTCAAAGAACTCAAATTATACTTCCCATTTGATCCCACAATCCCATTACTAGGCATCTACCCAAAAGAAAAAATTTTATTTTATCATAAGGACATTTGCACTAGATTGTTTATCACAGCTCAATTTATAATCACCAAGATATGGAAACAACCTAAATTTCCATCAACCCAGGAAAGGATTAATAAACTGTGGTGTAAGTATATAATGGAATACTATTCAGTCATAAAAAAGATAAGAGATTTTACAAGCTTTTGTATTAACACAGGTGGAGTTGAAACACATACTTCTTAGTAAAGTATCACAAGAATGGAAAAGCAAATATTCAATATACTCAATACTAAAATGAAGCCAGTAGATGATCTAATACACACCTACATAAGAGAAAAACTCGATTCAATTCAAGTTGGGAAGAGTAGGAACAAAGGACGGGGAAGGGATTGGTAAGGATTCCCAGCTGATATCCCACTTAATGGGGATAATATAAGGGTACGTGGCATACCTTCTGGGTGCAGGACACAACTACAAGAGGGACTTTACCTAACAAGTGCAAATATTACAACCTAGTTGTTTGTACCTTCACATTAAGCTGAAATAATAAAAAGAAAAATAAGAATTCCTTAAGTATGTCAATGTCAGATGAGTTGGTGTCCAAGGCCCTACAGAAAGGAATAGTAGAATGTTTTGAATTCTAGTAAAGTATCTAATATCCCTTCACAATACCTCGTGTGAGGCCCAATGTTGAAGTTTCAAGATCAATAGAAATTCTTTACATTGAGATGGCCAATGGAGTTCCTCTGGCAGGAAAAAATACCAAGCACTCCAAAAAGAACCACCAAGAAGGAATTTAAGGGGAGTAATTTGTATCCCATAATTTGGAATCATCACTGATTGATATTGGGCAAAGATCAATTCCAGTAAAATGTTGACAAGATCCATCTTCCTAAGTAGAATGAATGGTCATGCTTTGGGAATAGTTGTTGATATGTGAATGAAAACTACCAGAGTAGTGCTCTCAAGACCCAACCAGGGACATGAATACATATGCAAGGGTCTGAGCCTACAAAAGCACACAACACAGGGCTGCCCAACACCAGTGTGCAACAGCAACACCATGTGGCAGGAAGTGAAGTATGGCAGTGTCTACCACTTGTCCTCTAGAGACTTGTCCTCTCTACTTGAAGCTGAACTGGTGGGTCTGAACAGAATAACCCCAGGTTTTTGGAAAGCAGGAGGTGAAAGGAAAAGGCGGCCTTAGGAGGAAGACCCCTACCAATGAGGCCAAGTGGAGTCTTGGGTAATGAAAGAAAAAACAATGTGACTTTATTTGTACCTTACACTAGTAAAGCTTGTAAAACTATTTACATTAAGGAAAGGACCAAACAGAATTAATACCCATTCTTTCCTACATTTCAAATATTAAGTCACTCCTACCCAAGAAGGACACCCTGGAACATTAGTCTGACTCTGCTACTGACTTTCTAAGTAACCTCAGGCAAGACCCTTCACTGCCCTTTCCTGTCCTCAGCCCTCACTGTGAGTATGTCATATGTCTTGCCTTTGTCTGTCAATCTGTGGAGTGAATCAGCAATTGTTCTCCTGCCTGTTTTTCCCAAAGAGGAGAAATGAACACCTCTTGTGACCCCAGGCCCAGCCACTCAACTTAGCCCCATTACCTTTGGTTCCCATAGGTGTGGGACAGTCTTCGGGCACAGAAGGCAGAATGCGGGTATAATAGCTCACATTGGAAAAGGACTCCCAGCTGATATAATCATGTGCTAAGTTATAGGTGGGGGGGCTGGGGATAAGGTTGGAACGCACTGCAGAGAGCAAAAATAATGGTGATGAGGGTGTTCCCACCCCAGTTCCACTCCCTTCCCCATCTCCTCTTGGGCTGGGACTTGTTTTATCTGGCATCGTAGACCCTCCCCACCCACTGCCCTTATCAGACACCAAGACTCTCAAGAATTGGCAGGACTTCTTGCTACCAGATTAGGAGGGCTCTCTCCCACACCCACCTGTAAGTACCAGGCGCATAAGCAGGTCTCGGATGAAGGTGGAATTGACAAACTCCCAGAACCAGTGCCCATGAGTGAGCAGGAAGTGGATAAAGGAGGGTCTGGGCCGCAGTGTATTCCGGAGCCAGGTCCACAGCTCAGCTGCAGGGGTAGTGGGAGCCACTCAGTCAAGGCCTCCAGGGTGGAAGATGGGGATTGAGGACCAGGGCCAGGATGAAACAGGGTGGCTCCCATGGGGCAGGGGGCTTGGAAGTGATGTATACAATAGAGCCAGAGCCAGGCATGAGGACAGGGCCCAGGAGAGGTATGAAGACTGACCACAGAGCCCAGAACCAGGAGGTAAGAGTGGACCAGGAGCAAGAGCTCATGCTGGAGCCAGGTTATGGAGAGGGACAAAATCAGACAAGAAAGGGGCCATGGCCCTGTGGGGACTAAGAAGAGGAGGCCAGGGGAAAAGGAGGCCAAGGAGAGAAGGAGCAGGGGCTGGAGGCCTGGCTCACGGATGGTGCAGTTGGGGCCGGAGTAGCCCGTACGGGTGCAGTCACACTGGTAGCTGTCAAGGCCGAAGCGAACACAGATGCCCTGGTGCTGGCATGGGTAGTAACAACAGGGGTTCACTGTGGGTGAGAAACAGGGATCAGATACCACACTAGAGTGGCCTCCTGACCCCACTTAGCCCTAGTAGGCAAATGAGGGGCGAGAGGCATGCACTCAAGTCTCAGCTCTGTCCTAAACCACTAAGCAACTCTCCCCTTCCCTGTCCCCACAGCCATAAACATAAAGCCCCAGGCCCTACCCTTTTCTAGGCCCTGCTCTGTTCTCTAGCCTAGCCCACATCATGCTTCCAGGGGAAGTCCCCCTCACTCCCTACCACCACCAATGAGGGACAGGGGAAGAGTCCAGCCCCCAGACTATGACACTGAAGGCTAGGAATCAGCTGATAAGAGGCAACCACAGGCCTCCAGAGTGGTCACTTTCTGCCTAGTCAGAGCCCAGCAGCAAATGCAGGCTGGTTCAGAAAAGCAATGAGGATTGGGAAGCAGATCCTCCCAGACCAGTCCCCAAGCTCTGAGCACCTGGGTACCAGAAAAATGAGACCTCCCAGTATCCCTCCATTTCTGCAGAAGAGAGGGAGGAGCAGGTATCATAATACCTACTTTGCACATGGGGAAACTGAGGCTAGAAAGAGCAACAGCCAGACAGGTCACCAGCAAGTCACACCAGACCCAATGCCCATCCCCTCACTTCAACACCACCCCCATAGACTTAATAATCAAGTCCAAGGAAAGAAGTTTTCAGGAACATAGGGCTTGGCCTGGGCGTCAGAGTCCTCCCAGGCACAGCACCTACCCCCATTCCCATCATGTAAAAGGGTGTGGGAGTGAGGGAAGGCAGGGACTCCGGAGTTTCTGCTGCCTCCAATCCCATTCTCGATAGGCCCAGACCAAGTCCAGGTAGGTCCAGGCTCTACAATCCCGAGAAAGTTCGTGGACCAAGGAAACAAGGGAGACATGAAGAATCTCCAGGGGAGTTTCTGGCATCACCTTCCTGCTTCCTAGAGAAACCCCACAAAGAAGCCCCTCCCTGCATCTGACCATCTGACCACCACCACCACCACTACCACCACTCAAATCTGTACCGCCTCATTGAGTCTTCATCAGCAAAGTTAGAGACTCAAAGCCTTATTCAGATCCACCTCCACCCCCTGCAGAGTACCCCTCACTGCTCAGGGACTGAGGCTCAGGGAGACGGGGCAACTTGGCCAAGGGAACAGAACAGAGCAGGGCAGACCCAGGACTCCTGGCTCCAAGCAGCAGGCTCCTTCCCTGGCCTTATACAGAAAATATCAGGCTCCCTTCTGCAAATACACTTCCTTATCTGGGATCAGAGCCAACGTCATAGGGAACTTTTATTCTTTATGCAACTGATTGGGAGTCAAGAGGGTAGCAATAAGCGGGAACAACCAAGAATGACATGCACAGTCATCCCAAGGTGCTGTAATCAGAGGCCATGACCCTGGGCAAGGCCTATACCCACCCCACCCCCATCTCAGTCCCTCACTTCACAGCATAGGGCTTGGCCTGGGCAGCAGAGTCCTCCTGGCACAGCACCTACGCGCCCCCCCCCCCGCAATCATGCAAATAGTTTTGCTTAAGCCATGGACACAGCCCCAACAATAGCATCTTGTGGGGCCAGCAGGGGTGGGGGTGGGGGGCTGATGGGAAGAAGGCTGGACAAAAAGGCCTTATCAGGTTGCCACAGACAGACCCCAGCCTCCCCCTCCACGGCCACAGGCCCAGAACAGCCAAGTGACCTCAAGATGACTCCTCAGCTTGCTCATGGATCTGGTCCCTCCAGGGAAGGACTCCTCACCCCTGCTGAGATGTTCCACCTTACACCCTCCTGCTCAGGACATTCTGCTCATGGCTAATTCATGTTGGCCCAAGATCCCCTGTGCTCCCAGTGCCCAGCTCTCCACCCTGGCCCACCAGGCCCACCAGGCCCAATCCTACCCATCAGAGGGTACAGGGGCTGCTAAAGGCCCAGGCCCCCTCCATCTCCACCATGGCAGTGATCTAAGAGGCTCTCCAGCAGTGCCTCCAGCCCAAACATGCTGTGGCAGCCCCTCCCTTGGCCCTAAGCCCACAGGGCTCATCCATCTTTCTCATGGGCTGTGGCTCCTCCTTGATAAATTCCTCCAAATCCACCTGACCCTCTCAACTGAGAGCATGCCTTGCCTCCCCCAGAGAGCTTCCCATGAATGTCCACACCCTTCCCACTCTCCCCGTCTGCCTCCAGGGTTCCAATTTGACCTGTTCTTCTCTACTACAGGCTGCCCAGAGAAGGGGCACCTACCTTCCCTGACACAGTCTGTGCACACGGCTGGGGTTGAACCTGGATCCCAGATCCAGATTTGGTGGCCAGAGTTTAATGAACATTTGTGGAATCAATAAAATGAAGAGAAGACACTGGCCACCCCCAGCCTTCAGTAGTGCTGAAGCCCCCCTGCTGTATTCAGCCGGAGTCCGACCAGGCAGGCAGAAGAACCATAAGCTGCAGACCTGAAGCTGCTGCCCACATGCCCCTCCTGCCAAGAGAGGCTGTGCTCCCAGTGGCAGCCCCTCCCCGCCAGGCCAGCTATCCAGCTTTCCCTCCCTCCTCCCCCATGTTCTTTCCATAAACACCAGCTGTCCCTGGGCAGAGCAAGTTCTCCCAGCAAGGACAGTCGCTGGGGCCCCAGGGTGTCAGGGTGGACTGAGAGGAGACTGGGTGCTTTTTGACGTGGCCGGCCTGACACAGTGGGGCTGGGGAAGCCAAGACTCTAGCCTACCAAGCCCATAACCTTGCATGCCTATCACTCATCTGTCTGCCCAGTGTACCCTGGGAGAGACAAGAGAGGCAGGTGAGGCCCCCATCGACAGGGAGGAAGGTCAGACACACAGCAAGCAACAGACTTGATTGGACCCCTCTGCTTTGAAGTTGCAGAGCCAAGACTTAAACCCCCTTCTCCTCGCTTACAGGGCCCAGGCCTAGATTTGGGGAGGAGATGGGAAGAGAGAGTCACTTCAATCCACAGGCTGGGAAGAACCCCAGATGAGGGAGGATTGTCACTATTTCTTTAAGGTGAACCTTGAAAATCCTGAACAAATGAAATGAGGACCCCAGAGCCAGAGGGATCACCATCTCCTGCCACAACCAGACCTCTGGGAACTATTCATACTGGAATACCTTCCTTCAGTCTAACTTCAGTGCTGCTTGCTTTCATGCCAACTCAGTTCTGTGGAGGACATCCCTCATTAAGACAGAACTGGGGAAATGCAGGCACTGAGTCTAATTCATCTTGCATCCCCCACAGACAGCACAGGGCCAGGTACCAAGCAGGTGCTAAGGAAGAGAATGGCTGCTCTTATTGGCTGTGTGTCCTTGGGCAAACCCCTCCCACCCATGGGGTCTCATTTTCCTGTATATCCCAGGAAGGGGATGGAGCAGGCAGGCTCAAAGGAGGCCTTCCGTTCTGCCCCCTGCCCCCTTCTCCACTCTGGCTGGAGCCAGTCTACCCGTCCCTATTATTTGTGCCAATATGCTTCCCCTGCCCCATCAGCAGAGGACTTTACAACTTGCTGTCACTGAATCCTCAAGTCACCCAGAGGTAGGAACAAACAGCACACCTGTTTCTCCACCACACACAAGACACATGGGAACCAAGGCCAAGCAGTCAGTCCCTGTTCCCAGACGGGGACTATCCAGGACTGCCTGGCTCCAAACCCTTTCCAAGGATTTAGGCAAGGAAACACCCCCCAGCCTGAGAATCAGGGCTCCAGGCCCAGGCCAGAGCGTGACTAGGGGACAGCACAGCCGTGGAACACCAAGTGCTCCAGGATGTGGTAGCAGCAGCCTACAAGAGGGCCCAGTCTGGACCCAAATCCCCTAAGAATAATATTTAGAGACACTCCAATGACCTGGAAGCCAAAGAGAAAAAAGGAGCCCTGACTAGCCAGGCCCAGGCCCCATTCCCTACACCCAGCACCAGTACACCAGGCCCAGGCAGCTAGAGAGGAAGCCCCCTTCTGGCCCACACACCCAGCTGGCACTGGAGATAAGAGGCGACAGGCAGCAGGGAGACCTTGGCACAGCTGATTCCCTGGCTCCTCTGCCTGGCAGGCAGCTCTGGTCACCAGGTTGGTCACGTCCTATCCCCAGCTAGGGAGCTCGCACTAAGCCAAGCCCAGGGGCTAGAAGGGAAGAACTTGAGTATTAAGGATCCCCTGGTGGAGACTTGCCTCCGCCTGAGAGGCAGAAGCAACAAGCTTGTCCTCCTCTCTTCATCTCCTGTCTCTTTGGCTGCTGCTTCCTGGGGCGGATGCCCAAGCAGCTTGGGCTTCAGTGTACTCTCAGCCTTGGGAGGATGAAGGCAGCCCCGACCTCCTGCCTCTGCACCCGTCTTGTCACCCTTTCTTTCCTTGATCCTTGCAGGAGACTCCTTACTGCTATTTCAGCCTCCAGTCTTGCCCCAGAGTCATCTGCCATCCTCATTTGCCTGCTGCCAACTACCCTATGGTGTTTCTTAGCAAAGTCTCCCCCATCCACCACCCCTTTCAAGATCTACTTCAAATGACATCCCCGTCAAGAAGCCTCCCTCAATTATTCCTCACTCCAAGAAGCAGCTGCTCCCTCCCTAAGCCCTGCACACCCCTGTGCTTTCCCTTGGATGGTAGTTGGCATTTCTGTCTCCACCTCAATCAGACTATAAGCTCCTCCTAGCTCTGGGACTCCAGGCCTAGCCAAAGCCTGGCATACAGCAAGCCCTCAGGAATGAAAAAAAATATTCTCTTTCAACATTTATTGTATCAAAATAAGTGAAAAGGCCAAAACAAAAATGGTGTGACCATGGTTCATTGTGTGCTAAAGAATAGGCAAAAAAAGTGAAGGTGGGGCTAGGCCCTGTGTACCCCAGGGGGCCTCGTTGGGGCCAGATGGGGACTCAGAGGAAGTGCTGGGCTTATCAGGAACTGATAAGATGGATGATTGAGGCAGCCTGATCAGCCCTAGCCTAGCTACCAGCTCACTACAGAGTTCCAGAAAAATGAGCTCTCCTCCCCTAGGCTTCAGAGTCCCCTTCTGTAGAGTGTGTCTAACACATCCTCCTGGCAGGGCCAAAGAAGCAGATGCCCATAGCCAGCCTCTGTAAACTGTAGAGTGCTGGGCACATGAGTCTTACTCCTCTTTCCCAGCCCGAACCCTTTCCTAGACCTCCCTCCATCCTCTATGGCTTCCCGAAACACCACCCACTCAAATCCTCTCCTCTAGGAAACTTGGTGTGATCTGAAGTCCACAGAGATATCTTTTCTCTCTCCTCTGAGAGCATCTCCAGAGCCTGAGCAGAAAGCTGACTCCCTCTGCCTCCTCCTACCCTCTCTTGGCCTCTTAGAGATGGGAGATAGGAAAAGGGAACCCAGAAAGGGGTGGGTCACACCACCAGGTGGTGGAGGAAGCTGTGTCCAGGCTGGGCATGCACCAGCACACACACAGAGAAGCAACAAAGTGGGGGAGGAAGGTTGGCTGGGTGAGTTGCTGGACTCCTTCACCTGGTACACGCATGGAGGACTAAGGTGTGGAATTTCCCCACTGACCTCTGGGAGATGAGACCAAAGAGGCCCAGGGTCCACTGTGGGTAGGAGTACAGGGAGCTTTCCATCCAAAGAACTTGCAAGCGTGTGGTGTCAGTCAGATACCTGAGTTTAAATCCTGAGCCTGTGTGAGCACGGGGTAGGGGCATCATCACACCTGCTGAGCCTCAGTTTTCTCATCTGCTCAAGGCGGATGTCGTACGTGAGGGTTAACCCCAAAAGAAGCAACTGGGCTCTATAAATGTACTCCCATCTCCCGTCTGCTCCGATGGCTGGCGTACCCGGGGTCTTCACCCAGGCTGCGAATCAGGACGTGTTCCCAGATGGTGAGGGGCTGGAGAAAGGGAACTCGCACACCAGCCGGCTTTCCCCCGGGCGCCAGCGCTTCCTCCCAAAGAGGCCCCCACAGGAAACAGCGGGGTTGTTGGGCGCGGAGGCTGTTTGGACAGCCAGGGGCCCTGGAGCAGGTAAGGGGATGCCGCGGGGCACTCCCTTCTCCTCCAGCCAGCACGAGATCCCATTCTGCTGTTTTCCAGAACAGACCTTGGCAGCCCGCAAGCCAAGGCCACACCCCTGGGGGTCTCCAGAGAGCCCCCATCCCGCCTGAAAGACTCAGTCCCAATCCCCTTTCCCAGGCACCAGGAGCAGAAGCGGAAGCAGGGCCCGCTGGAGGGGATAAGGGGAGAGGGCAAGGGGTTGCGGTGGACAAGGAGGGGGCCTCCTACCTGGAATGGGTGCCCCGGGGTCCAAGGTCAGGACCGGGGGCGGCAGCAACAGGAGTAGGAACAGCGAGAACCTGAGCGAAAGACTCCTCCCTGCAGAGGACAGAGACGCGGGACTGAGCCTGGCGTTCAAGGCTCCGCCAGGAAGCCAAGAAGATTCCTGGGCGCACGGGGGACAGCGGGGTCGGACTCACGGCTCATGGCGCGGGCCGCCGATGGGTGCGGGAAGCGGACTGCAGGCTCTTTGGGTACGTCCCTAACTCTGCCCCGGAGCTCCGGCCCTCTCCCTCCCACCCTTCCTTGGGCTCCACCCTCTCCCTTCCCTCCAGCTGTCACCTCGGCTGCCGCCCGCTCACTTCCTCTGCTCCCGCCCTAGCCAAGACCCTTTATGCACGTACCGCTAAAGCGGCTTTCCCCCCAGATCCTTGAAGCTCCTGAGCTTCTAAAGCCCTGTGGCACCAGAAATGCGTCCATTTAGTACCTAAGAAAGTGAGGCTCAAAGATGATGAGCAAGCTCTGAGGTCACCCAGATCTTGGGGACAGGACGGAGAATGGAAGCGGCTCACGGGAACCACATGCTCTGCCTAGCAGAGAAGAGAGTGGGCTAGAGTAAGCGCGGTGCAGCCTGGCCGGGGCATGGTTCCTGAATGGGAATCTCTGCTCCCCAGGCAGATGCGCAGGGCAGGACTTACTTCTCCCCAAGATTGGGTTCTGCCCTCTGAGGCCACAGGACTCTGCCAGAAGTGAAGAGCACAAGCTCCAAGTCCAGGAGACTTGAGTTCAAATCCAGACTCCACAGCTTACCAGCTATATCACCTTTGACAAGGTATCCACCCTCTCTGGTCCTCAGCATTCTCCTCTATAAAATGGGCATAATAACAAAAACAAAGGATGGCTGTAAGAGGTAATACACACATCTCCCCAAGCGGTGCTCTGTTATCAGGAAATGTTTTCAAAGCTCTCCTAACTCAGACCCCAGGGCTGGCCCAGGTTGGTGCTCTAGCTGGACTTTACAGAATCCCACGTCCAGCTCCCCTTTTTGACAGCTGGGGAAACCTAGCCTAAAAGGGGGAAGGTTCAGGTCCAAGGTCACACACAGTCCCCACAGTTCTCGCCCTCGGTGTCCCCAGCTCACCCAGCCAACCTGTGGGGCCTGCAGTGGGGAAGGCCTCAAGGGTCCCTGAGTGTACGGTAGGAACTTATGCCAGGGGAAAGAGGTGAGACCTGCTCAGGAGCCCTTCCTCCTCCCCACCCAAGTTGCTCCACTGGGACAAAGGCCAGCTGCTCTAGGGAGACAGAGCAAGCCAGGACAGACCTGGAGAGGTCTGGGACAGGTAAAAGGCCTGGGGCCCTGGGGATGCTAGGAAAGGCTTCAGCCTTCCCTACTACCACAGACTGGGGCCTTCTGAACCTACCCAGAGAGGGCAAGGAGATGGGATCATCAGCAAAAGGGACAGGTCGGGGTGGAGATTTAGGGAGTCCAATTGCCCAAAGAAAAGGGGACCTTTCTGGTAATGAAGAAAGGAGAGGACTTGGCTCAGCACCTGTGGCTCAAGTGGCTAAGGCACCAGCCACATACATCTAAGGTGGCGGGTTTGAATCCAGCCCGAGCCCGCCAAACAACAATGACAGCTGCAACCAAAAAATAGCTGGGCGTTGTGGCGGGCACCTGTGGTCCCAGCTACTTGGGAGGCTGAGGCAGGAGACTCGCTTGAGCCCAGGAGTTGGAGGTTGCTGTGAGCTGTGATGCCACAGCACTCTTCCCAGGGGGACAGCTTGAGGCTCTGTCTCAAAAAAAGAAAAAGACAGAAACGAGAGGACTTGAATGAGGTTCTGTCTCCCACTCCCAGGCCCTCCCTCCTTTTGGGCCCTGGGCCCAGCAAGTTCCCACACTCATACCTTGTGCTGACTCTACTCTCAAGCCACCCATCCACACCTAAGACAATAAGCTCTTGAGCAGCCCTGGCATGGGCAAGGAAGAGCTTTCACCTGGAAATTGGGAGAACTAAGTTCAAGTCTCACTTCTTCCATGGTATGACCTTGACAAGTTTTGGGGCCTCTCTGGGCCTCTGTTTCTCCATTTGAACAATAGAATGAGCAGATCAGATGGCCTCTGAAGGCTGGTCCAGTTCCAGCAGAGCACAATGACCCCACTGCGGTTAGGCTCTGTGACCAGCACTGCGGATCTCAAGGCGGACACAATGAAGGAGAGGATGGAGGGTGAAACAGCAGGCAGGACACCAGTGCAGCCCTCTAGGGACAGTGGCAGACCATGAAGGTAGTTTAGGGAGGACGTAGGCAAGAGATATGGTGGCAGAAGTACTAAGACTTAGTGACCAATTAGCACTGAAACTGAGGGGAAGAGAGGTGCAGAGGACCTCTGGGTTCCTGGCGTGATGCTGATGATAATTAATATCCAGGGAAGGGGAGCTGGCTGGGGCCGTGCTGTCTGGATTTCAACTTCTTGTGTTTGATCCACCCCAGGAAAGGGGTCCAGCATGCAGTACACACAGGTGAGAGGTCTGGTCTGGCCCTGGGAAAAGTCCTAGCCCTGGCGAAGGGTCTACAGCACAAGGCCACATTTCCCTGTCCCTCTGCTGCAAAGCTTCTGGCCTAAATGTTGAGGGAAATTTCCTAATGCTCAGGATAGTGAGCTTCCACTCACCCGGCAAGGCCAGCTCCCTGAGATGCCCCCTCCTCCTCTTTCCTCGAGGAAGCCTCTGTGCCGTCCCTGGCCACACCAGGCCTATGCCAAGGGTTGTATTGTCAGCCAAAGTGTCAGTGCCTGCCTCAGTTTCCCTGCTTTCCCCCGCTGGGCCCATAGGTCAGCACCCCCAACATCCCCACAGGTCCAGCTCCACCCCAGTCTCTGAGCCCCTCCCAGCCGAGGCAGTAAAGAGCCGCCTTGCCCTACACCCCACTGGTGACAAAGGGTAGGGTTTCTTTCCATGCTTACCCCTCAACTCCCTGCTGCTCCTACCTCGGGCCTGGATTTTAATGTCCCTCAAGAAGTCTCACCTCTATTGTGCCCCACCCACTATTGGTATACCCAGAGCTGACTCTTACCTGAATCACTCACAGACCAGCCCCACCCAGCCCCACCTCTGCAGGTAGCTTGACAGGAAGACTCTGGAATCAACCCAACATTTCTTCATAGCCCAGCCCCAGCCCCAGCCCAGCTCTCTATGGGACCTTAATCAGCTAAATGCCCCTCGTGAGCTTCAATTAAAATGGGGTTAATGATTCCATTCTTGCAAAAATTACTGTGAGGACAAAATAAGATGGTCTATGTGAGCATTCCCCGCTTCTGGCAGAATCTCAGTGTTAGCCCTTTACCAGCTCCCCTGCCATTCCCGACCTGAGTAGGAGAGCCCCTTGGAAAATCCTCTTACTCCTCCTCCACCTACTCAGTAGTAGGCCAAGGTTGACTGTTGGAGGTAATAATAATGGTTAATATGTAATATTTCTTGACTATGTACTATGTGCAGGGCGAAGTGTATGTATTTTACATGCACGATTACATGTGGTTTTTCTCAACAGCGCTATGACGTCAGTATCATCACTTCCATTTACAGAGAAAAAACTGAGGTGCAGAGCTGGAGTGATTTACCCAAGGTGCACAGCTAGTAAGGATTAGGTCTCAAGGCTCAAGGTCTTTGTTCTGAAAGCAGGTACCATGTGCCTGAGCGGCAGTATAACCAGCCAGTGGAGTTAGGAGGAAACAGAAATGCCCTGTTTAGGGGTGGCTGGCTGGGCTGGGGAGGTCCAATTTAAGCACTGTAGCTCAGCTGAGAAGCTACGAAGTGAGGATAACAATATGTCTCTACATCCCTTTCTCACTGAAATCCTCACAACGGCTACAAGAGGAAAGCATCCTGATCCCCATGATGCAAAAGAGAAAACTGAAGCTCTAAGATTTCCCTAGATCGTGGCGTGAGGAGGAAGAGTCATCACCACTGCTGGAGACTTACCATGTGGCAGATGTTATGCTAAAGGTTTCTGGTGCATCATTTCCTTTGTAACTCATAACAGCCCCGTGAGGTAGATTTTCTTCTTGTCCCCCTTTTTGTAAACAGGAAAACTGATTTGCTAAAGGCCACAGGCTACAGGTGACGGACTGGGATTTGAGCTCTCATCTGTTTGATTTTAACATTTACAAGCGTAACTCCCTGCTACACTCCATCGCTGGCTCTTTCAGATCCCAAATCCTGAATCTTTAAAACAAACACCCAAATCCCAATGGGGATGGGCCAAGAAGAAAGATAAACAGCAGGAGATTGGTAAGTGGAGAGTCCCCAAGTTCATCTGGGGAGTTTCCGCTGTAGGGTCCCCATCCTACAGACTTCCCCGCAAGGCTGCTGGCGCCATCTGATTGGCACAGGATGGCCTGTGGTCATGCTACTGGCATCCTCCCTGTCCCGCCTCCACCATCAGTGTAATCTGCAGAGCATTAGACATCAGCTCCTTGGATCAGAGGGCCCAGCCGCTTGTGACGGAGGAGCCGGGGGAAAAAACCATTGTCTGGCTAAAGGACAGCAGTTGCTCAGGGGATTGCTGGGGATGTAAAATGTCAGTCTCCTCATCTTCTCCTCCCACCCCGTGGAAGGAAGAGGAGCTGTTTCCACAGCCCTCCTTTTGCATGTGAAACACCCTTCTGACTCTGCTTAGAACTTTTGACAGCTCCCACTGCCCCCAGACTCAGCCTAGGCGTCAAGTCCTTTCATTTGCTCAGCAGCAGGATATCATAGAAAGAACTCTGGAATAGGGACCCAGAAAATATAATTTCTTATAACAAGATCCCGGGAAATCATTGTATGACCTTGGGCAAGTAACGTGTCCTCTTGGGCCTCAGTTCCCCTACCTGTTAAATAAGTCTGGTGAAGGTGAGGAGCAGGGGTTTGGGGATCATGTGGACCTGTGTTCAGAGCCCAGCTTCAATATTCTAGTGTGTATGACTTTGAGACAGTCATTTGTCATCGCTGGGCCTCAGTCTCCTCAACTGAAAATGAGGGTAACAGTAGTATCTCTTTCTCAGGTCCCTGTGAGGATAAAATAACCTAGCTTAATTCCTAGCACTCAGAAGGCACTCCATAAGTAATTATCAGTGGTAGAATATTTATGTTCTTAATCTAATTCTGTCACTGTCTTACTAGATGCAGGGGAAGAAAAAAAATTGTACTAGACACCTGGAGAAAATTTAA